CAAGGGTAAAGTACCCTGAGGTGGATCTTCGGTCACCTTTATCACCGGCCCAATCTGCATCGGTATATAGTAGCGTTTCAAGATGACCATTTGACTGAAACTAGACTCCATGTCCGGCTGTTCCCTTGAGATATCTTATAACTCTTAAGACTGCTTCCATATGAGCCTTATGGGGTTGATGCATAAACTGACTTACAACTCCCACAGCATACGCTATGTCAGGCCGAGTGTGTGAGAGGTATATCAGTTTTCCTACCATTCGTTGGTATCTTTCTTTCTCAACCGGCCTGCTTTCTCCTCCATACAGAGCTTCTGATTCACAATCATCGGAGTGTTAGCTGGTTTACAATCAATCATACCACTTTCTGCAAGTAAGTCCAAGACATACTTATTTTGACACATGAAAATCCCCTGTTTTGATCTCATGACTTCAATCCCAAGGAAGTATTTGAGTTCCCCAAGATCTTTCATTTTAAATTCTTTGAACAATCTTGCCAAACCCCCAAACCAGAATGGCGGAGGACGTCATGCTCAGTATCATAACCATAGTGAAGAAAGTAAACACAACCATCATAAATATAATTTAAAAGGTTACATCGTTTCGAAAGTACATGTTTCCAAATAAATTACATATGATGTCAAAATATAGCAAAAAAAATCCGCTCCTTAGCGTCTTGACTTCAGAATTTCTTGTGGTTACCTGTATTACTGATTACCTGAGAATACAAGTTGTTTTGAAAGAGTATCAGCATAAAGCTGGTGAGTTCATAAGCAATTTATGAATGAAAAATGAATGTTGTTCCTTAAAGTTTGTTACAAGTTTGTTTCCAGAAAATCTAATATTTTCCAAAAGGTTTGTTGTAGTCTTAACTGAACCACGACTTAGTATTTGTAAGTAAATTGCCATACTTATGTGTGGTTTTATATTTAAATAAAACTCCTTATTGTGAAATCCTTAAATCCCCGTGAACTGTGTGTTTTGTTAATTCCTCATGTGAGTTGTTATAAGCATGCTAAAGACTCGAAGGCCTCGTATACGACGTTATTCAGGCGTCGGAATGTTATGGCATTTGTCACCCCATACCTGCCGGTCTAGCTGTTGCAAGCAACTTAGGTGCGGGTTTGTCAGACCCAATATAGATCTATACACAACTATCACGCTCTCCCTCCAAGAGATAAGAGTACCATGAAGGTTTATGTCTCACAAATTTATTCATTAACATGTTCACGTAATTTGTAATGAAATACCCGTTTGTAAATCGCTTGTGTTACTGTTTCTTTGTTAAACGAAGTGTTCAAACTATACCTATTATAGTTTATCAAAAGTGTTGTATGTTTGAATGAAACCTTGTTAAGTATGTCTTTGTATTTCAATAAAATTACATTGAAAATACTAAGTGTAAATCGTACACACCTTGCTCAGCATGTTACAAGGTGTGAATAACTCTTAAACATGTTTTAGACAGTTTTACCCTTAACTGTCCCTGTTTTAGAATATTTATAGAAAAATCATCGTAAGTTGAAAACTGCATCCGTAAACTCGGGGAGTTTGGAAAAAGAGTCTACTGTATTCATAAATTTTCCTATAATTTTTGGTGGTCCCAAACTAGTGTGAAAATGTTCATCTTCACAGCTTGGTCCGATTTTGTTACTGCAGGGCAGTTTTGTAAAAATCACCATAAATTGTAGAAAAATCGTATGGAGATGTGCAAGTAGTCATTTTAAAGGTATAAACCTGAACTCTTTGAATATTAAACAGTTTTGAAAAATATTAAGTTTAAGTTGGGTAAACAGTTCGTGAACAGGTCACAACTTTTCTGTTGTAAGCTGTCAAGTTAAGTTTTAAATATGTTTTGGTGTTTTAACTTGTATTCCCCCCCCCCCTCCTGAAAATTAAAGAAAACTGGAAAATGTAGGGGTATGAGATCACCTTGAGTGATTTCTTGAAGAGTGGAAGGTCGAAGACGAGGAGTATCAAGTCAAGAACACTTGATGAACACGAGAAGTGTTGGATGATCCTAAGAACGATTTTTTGTGTTAAAATGTGTGTAGATGATTCAAGGATGTTATGAAAATATGGAATAACACTTGAGTTTAGATGAAATACTTACCAAAAAGTGAAGTAATATCTCAAGAACACTTCCAAAAAGTGACTGGAAGTAGAGAGAAAAAGAGGCTTTCTTGAGGGGTAAGAAGAGTGTAAATGTTTGTTGGTGAAGGAAATGATCAATGCAAACCAAGAAATCCTCCAGGGATTTCTTTATATAGGAGGTTGCTGGAGCAATTTGCAAGATTGAAAGGATGTTTAAGTTGGTTTGTGTGATGTGGATAAGATTTGGCTAATGAGAAGATGACACATGGAGGCAAGTGGGCACACTTGACCAACTTGATATTCTAAGCTATTTTCTTTATTGTAAAATAATGATTTATAATTAATAAATCCTTGAGAAATGAATAAAATATGAGTTTAGGGAGTTTAAAATGATAAAAATATGAATTTGGTGAAAAATCCCTGTCAAAAACGGGCTTAACAGGCGAAAATAGTCGAAAACCGGACAATAGGAGCGAACCTACGAGGGTTCGGTTCCTATTGCTAAGGACCGAGAGAAGGGAAGAAGGGAACCGAAGGGAGGGCTCGGGCCCGAAAGGAGGAAAGAAGCGAGGCTCGGATCTGAAAGTGGTGGGAAGTGAAATGGACCGAGGGCTCGGTTCATTTCGGCTGTTCTTGAGGTTCGGTCCGAGATTGGTGACTTCGGTCCTGAAGGCTAAGTTCGGTTCTCAAAGGCAGCTTCGGTCCTAAAAGGGGGTGAGTTCGGTTCCTTAGGGTTCGGTCCCTAAGGGTTCAGTTCCTAGGGGTTTCGACCCAAATTAGCTGTTTTTCAATATAACTCCCGATTCAAGCGGTTTTTGGCCAATTTAAGGGTCGGGATGACCCGGATAACTATAAAAAGTTGAGAGAGATTTGGGAGAGATTTATTTTTACTCAATATTATTGTATAGCCTCGCAATGCAAGGTTCGTGAACCCCGTTATGCTTCGTCTATGATTATTTTATGTCCCAAAAAGGGTCCATAGTCGTGTTTTGATGCGTTTAACTCCCTTCTAAGGGTTTCACATTGATAAACACATAGATTCTATGAGACACTTGGATTCTTGACATACAAATGTGATGGGTTTGAGCCATAACAACTTTCCTATGTGCACATGCAAAACCTAATGCTTGGATCTAGGTTTTCTCTAATTGAACATGCAATTTATCCAAGTCTTGCAAACCCTAAATCTAGTGTATACAATTCAAATTTGACATAAGAAACTCAGATCTAGATGATTACCTTTTGTAGCTTGCTTGATTCTTCTTGTCTTGGAGCTTAGAGTCATAATTGTTACTCCTCTAATGGCTTACAAACACCAACTAGCAAGAGAATCATTTGGAGAGAGGAGAGAGAGGTAGAAATTGGCCCTAGGGTTCCAAGGAACCAAGTGTAGCCGATTTCTACAACCCAAGGAGTCTATTTATACTGTGAGCTTCTAGGGTTTCAGCCAAAACCCTAATGGACAACTTAATCACCAAGAAACCCATGGAACCTTCTGGAGTAAGGCCTTGGAGGAAATCTTGATGGGATCCTTCCCACAATTTCGTCCACCCCTTATCCATGAGGGTTTCCTAGCCCAAAATACAACTATCACACATTTGACAGTTTAAGCCCTTTTATTCAATTAATCTCTTTTAGTCACCAAATTAATTCTTAATTAATCTATGACTAATATTAATTAAATAATATGATTATTCCTTTAATATATTATTCTCATAATATATTAATAAATCATAATGTTTTCTCTCTCTTCATAAATCACCCTGTCAAGTTGCTATGGTGAAGGCAACCCAAAAGGACCATGCACAATCGGGTCAAGTACTTACCAAATATAGTTACAGGCTTAGACACTAATCCAACAGTCACCCACTTGGATAAGTCTAGTACCAATAAATGTAAGTATAATCTGATTAGCAATCGTAGCTCTCAAAGACGCTGTTGAACTCTGATCTTATCAGTAACCTGTCCTTCAGATAAGGGATCATATAATCCTCTGTTCTGGATATCATGTGGACAATCACATGGAACATAGTCATACTTATTGTCCATCAGTTAGTTTCTCGATCTCAGATTCATTTGACATAGAACTTAAATGAACACATCAATTTAGTCCTGACCGGGCCCGACACATAAGTCAAATCAAATCATCGAGGGGCCCTGATATCGCTTTTACCCTCTTAGGATAAAATAAACAGATAAACTTCGACTTATATGCATTTACTATCCACTAATCAAATCATACACAACAACGCGTTTATAACATCAAGTTACTGATGCGTTTACGCATTATCAATGCACAACCAACTAGCAAACAATAAATCATATATCTAGGTTTTAAGACCATATGATATTACCGTCTTGCGATCACTCGTGATGAATTCCATGAAGTGATTCCAGCAAGCGTGGGTTTATTCCAATGCTCAAATCTTGTTCATAAGCACTCATGAACGTTGTAGCAAACCTTTGCTATGTCTAATACATTTTAGACATTTTACACACCAATTCATGAAAGTCTTCAGTCATATCTACTTCCAACATATGAACGACTGTGGACCGTTCGAATAATTCGATAATTATCAAATAATTCAATTATTCAGGAAGTCAAAACATGCAAAAATGAAACAATAGGTAAATGATTAACATAAGACAGTAACATTACTAATAAATAATACTCTTTTATTTAATCATCAAATGTTAATTACAATTTATCTATTACACGTTTCTAAACTATCTAATCTAAACTAATATCGTCCTTCAGCCCAATGCTCCTAGTGTGCTGCAAGTACTTAACCCTGCTCAGTCCCTTCGTAAGCGGATCTGCTGGGTTATCCTATGACGATACCCTCTTTACTACGAGGAGTCCTTCTTCCACCTAATGTCGAATAAAGTGATATTTTCTGTCGATATGTCAAGATCTGCCATGATCCTTGGGTTCCTTGGTCAAGGCAACCGCTCCTTCATTATCACAGAAAATTTCCATGGGATCCTCTATGGCTGGCACAACTCCAAGGTCTCCAATGAAGTTCTTCAACCATATTTCCTCCTTTGACGCTTCGCTTGATGCGATGTACTCTAATTTGCATGTTGAATCAGCTACGGTCTCCTGTTTGGAACTTTTCCAAGTCATTGCTCCTCCATTAAGAGTAAAGACCCACCCCGACTGCGAACAGTAGTTGTCTCGGTCGGTCTGAAAACTAGCGTCACTGTACCCTCGCACCTTTAAGTCATCACTCCCCCCGAGGACTAGGAACCATTCCTTGGTCCTCCGAAGGTACTTAAGAATATTCTTTACTGCGATCCAATGTGCTTTGCCAGGGTTCCCTTGATATCTGCTGACAATGCTTAAAGCGAAGGACACATCAGGGCGAGTACAAGTCATAGCATACATGATTGAGCCAACTGCGGAAGCGTAAGGTACTCGACTCATCTCTGTTATCTCTACTTCAATACTCGAACTCTGAGTCTTACTCAACTTGGCATTACTTTGGATTGGTAATTCCCCTTTCTTTGAGTTCTCCATACTAAAATGTTTTAGTACCTTGTCCAAATAAGTATTCTGACTAAGTCCTATTAGTCTCTTACTTTTGTTTCTCACTATCCTTATTCCCAGAATATAGGAAGCCTCTCCGAGGTCCTTCATAGCGAAGCACTTCCAGAGCCAGGACTTAACTTCCTGCAGTGTCGGGATGTCGTTTCCTATAAGTAATATGTCGTCGACATACAATACAAAGAAGCTAACTATATTCCCACTGGCTTTGACATACACACATGATTCATCCTCGCTTCGCAGGAAAACAAACTCTTTGACCTTCTCATCAAAAAACAAAGATTCCATCTGCGAGACGCTTGCTTAAGTCCATAAATGGACTTCTCAAGCTTGCACACTTTATTGGGATGCTTCGCATTGACAATACCCTCAGGGTGAGCCATGTAAACATCCTCAGCCAACTTCCCATTAAGGAAAGCAGTTTTGACATCCATTTTCCATATTTCATAGTCATGAAACACAGCAATGGCCAGCATCACCCTGATAGACTTTATCTTCGCAACTGGTGAGAAGGTTTCATCGTAGTCAACTCCAGGATTTTGAGTGAAATCCTTCGCAACCAATCGCGCTTTGTAAGGGTGCACATTTCCATCCACGTTAGTCTTCTTCTTGAAGATCCACTTGCACCCGACCGTCTTACGACCTGGTATATTGTCAACCAAATTCCAAACTTGGTTGTCATACATGGACTGAATCTCGTTGTCCATAGACTCTTTCCATTTCGTAGACTCCGGGCCTGTCATGGCTTCCTTATAGCTTTTCGGTTTGTCCAGATTCACTAGTGTACTATCACTAATGAACGTATCCCCTTCTGTTGTAATATGAAAACCATAAAACTGGGGTGGAATACTAACCCTTTCGGAACGTCTAAGAGGTAAGGACTCGTCAATCGGTTCAACCGGAGTTTCCTCCTCGGGTTGAGCGCCAGTGTTAGAGGTTCCTTCATCGCTCGACTCTTGAAGCTCTTCAAGATCGATTTGCCTCCCACTGTCTCCTTGGCTTATGAGTTCTCTCTCTCAGAAAACCCCTCTCCTCGCAACGAAGACCACATTGTCACTCGGTCTGTAGAAGAGATATCCAAAGGATTTCTACGGGTAGCCGATGAAAATACATTGTAACGCCCGCGTTTCGAGACTAATCATTTTTAGACGATGTAATAGTCTAGGTCAACTATTGTAACTCTTTTGATGTAATAAAGATGAAATATTTGAGTATTATGTGAATTATGTAAATTTATATGCTTATTATTTATTTATAAATGTATAATAAATAAAGAATAAAAATAAGCGTCAGAATTAAAGTGTGAGATAAGCCCGATATCTTTACATAAAGTTGTAGTATTCGAAACAAGGATTCCGGAGATATAAAGAACGCGGAAATCCGAGTTATAACGAAGAAGTTATGACCCGTCGAAGTTTCGTGATGAAACCGACACGATACCGGGAAGCGTAAATAGTGAATTTACGATAGAGCGAGTCTTAGCCTTAGCGACCTAAACGAAAGTCGTAGAAAACATTAAACCGAGAGCGTCCATAAAAAAAACGCCTAAATCTGACTTCGTATGAGGAAGTTATGATTTTTTCGAAGTTTCGGCTTAGTAGTGTACAGCCCGAAGTTCGAATATTAGATTGAGCGGTTTTTAGCCGACACAACCTAAATGAGAATCGAAGGTCTCGTTAATAGTAGCGTATCAATAAAAAGACAGACAAAAACAGACGTCGGATGAAGAAGTTATGAATTTTTAACGGACCAATCATGTCCCGGCCTGTTAAAAATATAACTTTTAAAATAAATTCAAAATTAGCTGACGGAGTCTAAACGAAAGTTTTAGAGTACGTTCCCGCCTACGCGTGGATATAAAGAACGTCGAAAACGGAGCTCGTACGCGAAAGTTACGTATTTTTAAAGTTTGTAGTCGAATTTGCGAAGTCTGATGCGAGTCGATGACGTGGCGCAATCTGGACCCTCCATCGCTGACCTCGGTACCTGCCTCGGATGTGTGACATGCAACCCCTCGCATACGCCCAGCATTCGCATCCAACGCCCCGCGTATGAGGTTCGGAACCCGTCGCGTATGGCTGTATTCCTCAGCCCAGCAAGCTCCACGTCGCACCACCGAATGCTCGCCACCTGTAAGCCTTATCCGAAGGAACGCGCAACATAGCTGCTGAACGCCCAGCGTTCCGAGAGGGCTCGCAGGCTATAAAAGGGGGCGAGGGTTTCCGGATTTTTCACACCAATTCTCATTCTCTCTCTAGTTTCTTTCTCTCTCTAGGATCCCAAACCACCCCTAAACCCTAGGAAAAACCCCTAGCACCCAAAGGAAGCCCCGAGGCTCCCGGAGTCCCAAGAAAAAGGGTCTTTCGGTTCAGAAACGCTGCTCCGAGCAAAGCCCGGTTTTCTTTAAAATCCGCTGTAAGTGAGCTACGCCTACGCTATTTTTAATATAGCTTTTAAATAATTATAGTAATGTTATTAGGTCCTTAAAATAATTATTTGGGCTATTATTATAACTTATATTGAGTGTTATTTAACGCTTATATAATAATAATAATAGCTAGAATATTAATTAATTGCGGTTAACATTAAAACTAACCCCTAGTGGTACTGATACTAGGTTTCGGTCAAGGAAAAATTGTTTTGAGATAACGAAGCGCTGTTCGAGTACCGAGTCACCACCTTATCAGGTGAGTGCATAGTCTGTTTCATCTTACACATAGATATGAAGTATTTATTATAAACTACGTGTTATGTGTACATACTATCTGAATAGTTGCTGACTATGCTGATGAATGATTTTTATACATGTTTTAAATGTTTTAAACTGTATATGTATTTTATATCTACAAAATGTTGGGGTAAAACATGGGTAGATGTAATAAGACGATGTGTGATAAAATGATGAGAGGCCTCGATGTTGTTGGTGATCCAGTCATCTAGCGGAGTATAGATGACGACCACGGACTCTTCTAGACAGTCCAGTGGAACGCTAGCAGGCTCGCAATATGTAGGTGTTTGTGAACGATGTGTTCACCGGTGTACTCCATCCCCCTCATGGTTGCCTTTAGGACATTTATTGCTGAGGAACCCCCTTAGCAGTGGTGTCCATCCCGATGATGATCCTTAGTCCAGGTCTCTTATGATAGGTGTTTAGGGACGTAATGTGAGGATAATGGGAACGGGTAATCGGGTTTTTATTGGTTGATGAATTTAATAAATTTATTTATTGTGGGTTGAAAACCCTATGTGCTCACCAGGCTCCCAAGCCTGACCTACTCAGTTTCATGTATTACAGGTAGTGGCGCTTGAGCATAGATGTGATGTTTTGGATGAGGGATTACGGATATAGGCCTGTAGATATGAAATAATGTAGTAAGGCTTATATTGTACTGTTTATGCTTTTGATCTGTATCGAACATGACATCCCGAGTCTTTTAATGAAATACATTTATTTGGAAATGCTTTTGATAAATCTTTATCATATTTTGTTTTGGGTCAAATTCCGCAACACTTTTATTTAAAATGTTACTCTGATTTTCAAACAAGCATAAATAAAATCGGTCTTTTCTGGCCGTGAAAATGGGGATGTCACAGTTGGTATCAGAGCATTAGTTTAAGCGAACTAGGAATTTGTAGGATTTCTAAACTTAAACTTAGAATGCTAAGCGATGATTTTGAGATGTGAGCACTAGCTTATTTTAGGAATTATGCCTAAAATGCTTTTATGTGCTAAATGCTTTATGCCTTATGTGCTGTTAATTGTTCGGATCTATGGTCTGTTGCCGACCGGATCTGGAAACCTTATGTGTTTAGGATTCTAAACGTACGACTACGATATTAGAACTAGCATATAAACGTTTCGGAGAGATAAGGATGATTTAAACGTCTATCCTGAATAAAGATCTAAATTCACCTTATTCGGTGTATAGATCAAAATGGCAAGAACCCGCAGTGGAGCTGGGAATGCAAATGGGAATAGGAATCAACCCCCAGTGATTCAGCAAATACCTGTTGTAGCAAATGTTCCTGAGCCAATCACGATGGCCATAGTGCAAGCGATGATCCAGATGATGTTGGATCGTCAAATGGAGGAAACCAGGCGTTTGCTCCAACAAAATCGCGAGGAAGCTACCATACCAATCGTAGAGCCCGAGCTGAATGATGGGCCGTCTGAAGGAGGAAACTACAGTGGGACTGTTGGTCAAGTCAACCCACCGATAGTTAGACGAAACAACCAGGATGGAGGAAATGACGGACGTGGATGCAAATACAAGGATTTCATGGCATCCAAACCACCGTGTCTATCTGGAAACCCGACACCGGTGGAAGTCATGAACTGGATCTCCGAGATGGAGACAATGTTTGAGAGTTGCGAGTGTGGCAACAGGCAGAAGACCGCTCTTGCGGTTCCTCTGTTAAAATCTGGAGTACTAAGCTGATTCAATGCCCAAGGGTGAAGCTAGTAAGATGTCTTGGGAGGATTTTCTGGTACGGCTGAAAATGCAATACTGCTCTGAGCAAGATCTACTGGAAATCAACAATGAGTTCCAGAATCTGAAGAAGGGAAGGATGAGTGTTAGTGAATACGTTTCAAGCTTTACAGAGAAAATGAAGCTTGTTCCTCACCTCGTCCCAACTGAACTCTCCAAGGTTAACAAGTTTGCCCTCGGATTACCAGCGGACTTCGGTCCAATGGTCAAGCAAACAACCATTCTGAAAGCCGCCATCTGGGCTGCTAAGAATGTGGAGACCCAGATACGAGAGAAGGGTCTGGAGAGAAGGGTCTGGAGAGAGCAGAGGTGGGAGAGAAAAGGAAATTTGATGGGTCATCGAAATTCAGCAAGAAAAGCAAGTTCTCAAGGTCTGGTACGTAGAAGTCTGGAGGAGGTGAAGCCAAATGGTGCGACAAGTGTAAGAAGAAGCACCAGGGGAAATGTGATGGAGGAGTCAGCTGTTTCAAGTGTGGAAAGCCC